CTCCTTTTATTATTTTTATCGTCCTTTTATTTATTCCCCCCCCCTCCCCCTTATTTATTTATTTATTCTCCCTCTCCTTATATATATTTTTTTTTTCTATTTTCTGATGATTTTTTTCCTGGGCTGGTGCTGCCCTTTTGTACACGGAGTTGGGGCTGCTGCTGCTGGGAAGGCAGCGAGTTTAAACGCTGTTAATCACCCAAGCAGATTTCTTCCCCCCCCTTCTCCCTTCTCTTTCTAATGTGCCCAAAAGGGGGGTATAAGTCGCGTTTCTTTGTTCTTGGGTTATCCAACATCTGGCTCAGGAGAGACCTGGTTCATGACTGAGGTGCTCAGGACTTCGTTAGTGTAAATAATAATTACAGGGCAGAAATATTCGTCTCAAAAGTCTTCGTGTGTGTGTGTAGGGGTGGGGGGGGGTTGCTAAGCCTTGGCTTCCTTGCAGCTACGGGTAATTTCCATAGCGTGGGGAGATGTTTTCTGTGCACCTCTTCAAGATTCAGATCTCGGCTTTATTTTCTTCTCTCTTCCTCCTCTCCCTCCCCCCCCCCACTGGAAGCATCTTCGTTATTTCCAGAATTTGGGATTTTTATCTTGGGAAGGGCATTGCTGTTCTGGATTTTGTCTCTCGTGCTGCTGTCCAGGCAGAGTTTTAGATCCTCTTTCCGCGTCCTGGACACTGTGAGAGTATTTTCAGTGTTGTGGTGGCCGTGCTCGGGCGTTATTTTTTCACAGTTTCGCTCGTGACATCATGGCAACTTGTGTTCATCCTTACTTTAGCAGCAGCGTTACCTTCTCTTCTGATTCATCTGCATCACAGTTGCTCATTTTTAAAACCTGTTACGTTGGACTTTTAATGCCCAAATGTTGGGGAAATAGATGAGAGAGGGGTCGTTCAGCTTCTTAATTTAGATTTTCATGCCTGTGGTAAAACTGGGAGCAACAGGGTTTTTTTTTTAAATTGAGGGGGAAAGAGGAAGTATATGATGATGGTAACTGTGGAAAGGCCAGGATTATATTAACTCTATTTCGGGTTTTAATGTCCATCATGGATAAGTGTTGTAGTGTTTAATTAAATCATATCCTCTTGGAGTTTTCTATATGTGTGTTCGTTATATAGAGTATGACAGTTGTTTTTTATTGTTTTTTTTTTTTACTGTATCACAGTTGTTTTTCAGAAGTCTCCTGTCATTTATGTACAGGCTTTATGATGAATGAATGACTTTTGCCTTTCCCCAGCAAGCTGGGGAACCCTCTGCCTCCTCCAGTGCGTGTTTTATGCGGGTTTTTACAATTTCATGTGCCACGATAGCGTCTGCGCTGGACAAAGTGTGTGTGGCCTGATGTACGTTCACGTTATACCGGTGGAATGAAGCCCAGGTCTTGTAAAGCAGTGTTAGTTGGCAGCCTGGAATAGAGCTGGTGTTTGTGTGGGTGTTGGAAATAGGATTTTTGGTGAGGAGCAGTGAACGGTTTCTGCTGAATCACAATTTTTCTGTGGACCCCGTTGACTCGTGGCGTTTCACCTCGTTCCCCCTTGTGCCGCGCGGATGCTCCTTTGGAGGTACCTTGGCCTGGCTGTGCTCTGTCTAACAAGAGTGTGAGTTATCCTCACACCAGTTTTACGTGGTGGATGTGGACGTGCCATCTTGCTCTAGTTGAAGGTGTCGCTGCCCAGGGCATGGGGGTTTAGAACTTGATGATCTTTAAGGTCCCTTCCAACTCTAACCATTCTATGATTCTATCCCAGCTGGGCTGCCCAGTGTGCCAGAACCAGAAATACCCTCACCCCAGGAGTAAATAAGCCATCCTGACAAAAACCAGTTATACCAGCATGAATATATTTATATATCTCCTTAGTGTGTGCTGTGTTGGTCAGAGGTTGCCCTTCTCTTTACCTCTATGGGGAAAATGTGTGGCATAAACTTACTCGTAGAGGATTAAGCTACAGTGAGCAAAGGCCACTTTGCATCTGAGCAAGATTGGCCATGCAGGTGTTTTACGCGCTGTAATATTGCACTTCAATTAATTCTCTCCACTTTCCTCGACAAAAGCCCCAGGACGGGTCGGCTGTGCAGATGTCAGCTTCCAGGCTGCAGGTATTTTGGCGTGAGGACTGCTTCAAGTGTTGGAATTTCATAATTTTTCTGTCACTCAGGAGCCTGAATCATCTTTTCTTAGACTTAAACCAGACGGTTTCACTCCTGGCAAGCTGAAGCCTGGAACATTTCAGCTTTGTAAGTGAAAATAAAGATCCACCAATGACCGTAGGAGCCCAGCTTGGGAAAACTGGGGCTACCTTTATTGTAAATATCACTTCTAGGCTGCATCATGTCAAGTTCTGCTGCCGCGTGCATGTACATGCTCCAGGAATATTTCCATTACTGTTTCCACCTGCTCTTCATTTACCAACGGAGGGAGGTTTCCAGGCAGCTTCTCAGTCTCTGGAAGGCTTTGTGAATTCTTTTTTTTTGCCTTACCCTCTTAGGAACTGGAAAAGCATCCTCTAGGAAGGAAGCAGAGTGCAGTGACTCTGCCACGCTCCTGTATCCCTTTTATCAAGAAAATTTTAATGCAGACTTTTATACCTAAGAACGTTGCGTGCTGTCAGTAGCAATCAGCTTGTGTTGATGATTTTCAGCGCAAGAAGCACTGTGAAATTTAGCCTTGGACTTTCATCTTTCTTACTGCTGCTTCTGAAGTAGATCCGTAGGGAAAAAAATATAATTAATATTTTTGTATTACTGATTACCCAGTGCTTGAGTTATTTAATAAAATAATTTAAAATGCATCCCTTGGTCTTTTTAAATAAGCTACACTGTGTGGCGGGGCTCTTACTTTTATTGTGTCGGAGTTACAGTAGTAGAAAGATGGAAAACGGTGCTGAGGTGGCACTTGAAGCAGATACTCGTTGTGACTCATGTGGCTCTAATGAACTTCATTAGCTCTTTGATATGAAGCCATTTGTTGAGCGTGCTTGTCTCAAATTAGGGCTGTCTGCAGCCAATTGTTGATCAGAATGAAGGATAAAAGTTTCCACTTATTCCAGTCTAGTTTTCACACCGGATTCGGAGCTCTGTTGCTGGTTATCGTGCTCTTCTGGATCTTCAGTGAGGCTCGTCCTGCTGGAAGTGCCACAAACCACCAAGGACCCTCCATATGAAGGAATCAAGTGGCACCCAGCCCCTGGCACAATCTCTGGGTGCTGGGGGCAATGTTTGTGTTTAAGGGTAATCCATCCTCTTTTGGGTTTGAATACAGCTTTTTATGAGAGGGTCAGTTTCATGGTTTCTCTCATTCCCACTGTTGAATGTAGATACGTGCCCCTGCCCTGATGTTTATTTGTGTAATTTGGGTGTCAGCTAATGAGAATCTCTTCAGCAGCTCGTTCGGCGTGCGCATCTAGACCAGGTGAATATATCCTAGCAACCCCCCTGTTTTTCAAGTATTGCAAACCATCAAATGCTGAGCATTACAAGCATCTTCTCTTTCTTTTTTTTTTTTTTCCACCTGAAATTTCAGCTTCCACCAGAAACTCTCAGCTGCTTTCCAACGTAAAGGTTGTACCTTTAGCAGGGGAGCGTGGAGGAAGGTTTGGAGATCCAGAATCATGTAGGCTGCCAGGGCTTTGTACCCTGGTGGGGCTAAACCTGGACCATCCAGGCCCCATCCTGCTTTGGGGAGAATTCAGATCTATTCTGTATCCACTGCAGCAATTGCAGCAGGGTTCAGTATTTGCTAATTCTGGCCCTGTTGCCTTTGCTTTGTCCCAAAAACTGGTGGGACTGAACCAGTTTTCCAGTTGGACAGGCTTACTGGGAAGGTTGGCCGGAGTCGTTTGTCCCCGTGCAATGGCACCACTCGCTAGGAATTATAGAAGTGCTTTGTCCCAAAAACTGGTGGGACTGAACTAGTTGCCAGTTGGACAGGCCTACTGGGAAGGTTGGCTGGAGTCATTTGTCCCTGTGCAATGGCAGCACTTGCTAGGAATTGCAGAAGCCTGTCCTGCCCTGGGCAGGGACACCTCCCACTAGAGCAGGTTGCTCAAGGCCCCATCCAGCCTGGCCTTGAACCCCTCCAGGGATGGGGCAGCCACAACTTCCCTGGGCAACGTGTTCCAGTGTCTCACCACCCTCAGAGTAAAAAATTTCTTCCTGAGATCTAATCTGAATCTTTTTTCTTCCAATTTAAAACCGTTTCCCCTTGTCCTATCACTACACCTCCTGGCAAAGAGTCCCTCCCCAGCTCTATTCCCTAAAGTGATCCTTTAGGAATATCCTTTAGGGAATAGCACAGTTTATAACTGGGAGCAGGCCCTGATTCCTTTCCGGGAGCGTTAGTAAGGGGGGAGCTGGGAGAGGATGGCTAAGAGGATGAGGGCTTACAATTTTAAATTGGAAGAGGGGAGATTTAGATTAGATACCAGAAAGAACTTCTTTGCTGTGAGGGTGGTGAGAGCCTGGCCCAGGTTGGCCAGAGAAGCTGTGGCTGCCCCATCCCTGGAGATGTTCAAGGCCAGGCTGGATTGGGCTTTGAGCAACCTGGTCTGGTGGGAGGTGTCCCTGCCCAGGGCAGGGGAGTTGGAACTTGATGACCTTTAAGGTCCCTTTCAACTCTAGCTATTCTATGTTTCTATGGTTCTAAGTAATCAGGGCTGCTCGCCCACTTTGTTTTGGGGATCGCCTGATGCGAACTTGATGGCAAGGACTTTCTGTCTGAGGCTGGTCTGGATTTGTTGGGGATGAGCTGCCTGCCAAACTCTGAGAAGGAGTCCCTTCTATCGACGGATAGAAAACGGGGAGGTGGAGGCTATATTTGGTGGAGCATGTAGGAGAGTGATAGGCATCCTGATGCGCATTGACGTTTTGATGTCAATGAAATACTGTGTTTTTTGGGGTGTTTTTTTTTTTTCTTCCTGTAGGATAGACGTAGCTGTACGAAGGCTCTTAGAAGGCTTTGGATGGAAGGTGTGTTCCATCTGAGGACTGGCTCTGTAGGGTTGGGAAGTCCAGTGTCTCCTTTTTCTTCCTGTTTTTCATCCTTTCTTAGAGACGGTGCTGCTTTCAGTGGGTACCAGAGCCTGTTTTTGTGCTGGAGGGTGGAAGTAGGTGTCTCCTCGGTACGGAGTGTGCTGAGGTGGGTTCTGCTCATGGTGCTGAGCTCTGAGCCTCTGCTTCCTCGCTCGTGCTATTTTTCTGGGGTGTTGATGACTTTCTGCCTCTGCACGGCCGCGTCTAAGGCAGATGTGTGAATTATTTTACCTGTTTGCTCTCCGTGCTGCCTGTCTTGCCTATAAATAATAAATGGATTGCTCAGATGCTGCAGACTGATAGCGACTGGGAGGGGAACTCTGCTTTTTCAGTACCGTTACAAAAACTGCCTCTGACTTCAAATACAATAAGCAGGAAAACATGAAAGTACGTTCTCATTTATGGATCGTGCTTCTTAATTGCACCCGGCGTGATCAAGAAACGCAATCCAAAAGAAACTGAGTCCCTCCCACTGTTTATTACATAACCGTCTAATTAAAGTAATCAAATAGGGGGTGACTTCCAGGCTCAGAAAACTTTTCCCTCTAGTCTGGGTCAAAAATACTTGCAAGACCCCACCCCTGGAGTCTCCAGGCTTTATTTACCTTGCAACATCCTCTGTAGAGGAACGGTGTGTAAATGAATCCTTTCTCCCCAGAAGTTTATTTTTGGCGTCGGCCATTCGAGTCTCCTCCCGCTGCTTCTGTGGTTGCTTTCTTGGGCACAAAGAAAAGCCTTTTTAACTCCCAACTTCCCTTTTGAAGGAGAGACCTGATGAACTTCAACAAGGGCAAGTGTAGGGTGCTGCACCTGGGGAGAGAGAACCCCCTGTGCCAGGACAGGTTTGGGGGCTGACCTGCTGGAGAGCAGCTCTGGAGAGAAAGACCTGAGAGTCCTGGTGGACACCAGGATGTCCAGGAGCCAGCAATGTGCCCTTGTGGCCAAGAAGGCCAATGGCATCCTGGGGGGCATCAGGAAGAGTGTGACCAGCAGGTGGAGGGAGGTCATGGTCATCCTGCCCCTCTGCTCTGCCCTGGGGAGGCCCCATCTGGAGCACTGGGACCAGTGCTGGGCTCCCCAGTTCCAGAAGGACAGGGAACTGCTGGTGAGGGTACAGCAGAGGGCTACAAAGATGATGAGGGGCCTGGAGTATCTCTCTGCTGAGGAAAGGCTGAGGGACTTGGGTCTTTTTAGTCTGGAGAAGAGAAGGCTGAGGAGGGATCTGATCAATGCTTTTAAATCCTTCCAGGGTGGGTGTCAGGAGGATGGGGCCAGGCTTTTCCCAGTGGTGCCCAGTGACAGGACAAGAGGAAATGGGCACAAACTTGAATGTAAAAATTCCATCTAAACATGAGGAGGAACTTCTTTCCTGTGAGGGTGGCAGAGCCCTGGCAGAGGCTGCCCAGGGAGGTGGTGGAGTCTCCTTCTCTGGAGACATTCAAAACCCACCTGGATATGTCCCTGTGCAATGGAACTTCTTTCCTGTGAGGGTGGCAGAGCCCTGGCAGAGGCTGCCCAGGGAGGTGGTGGAGTCTCCTTCTCTGGAGACATTCAAAACCCACCTGATATGTCCCTGTGCAATCTGCTCTGTGTGGACCTGCTCTGGCAGGGGGTTGGACTAGATGCTCTCCAGAGGTCCCTTCCAACCCCATATCATTCTGTGGTTCTGTGAAGAGACTTCAAATAGTGCTGCTCCTCTTCCTCCACAGAAAGAGCCAGCTGATTCAAAGCTCTTCTCATAGTTGCTTTGGGTTGGAAGTTGGGTTTTTTTTCAGGTTTATTATTTCTGCATCGTGAGTATTGATGGCAATTGGCAGGTAAATCAGTAAGTTGGGTCTCTTGCTCCAGAAGGAAATGCTGTGATAGCTGCAGTACTCAAACCCTGATAACGAGAAGCATATGTAGATGGAGGTGGTGGTGGAGAAACATGAAAGACATCTGAAGTACAAAATGTAGCTGCGAATAAAAATTGGCGGTCCATTTTCAGTGTGCAGTCGTGTGTTTTCAAATCCATGGTTGTGCTTTGCAAGAACTCTGAAATCTTGGAATTCCCATGGGATTTGCATACCCTGCTGTGCATTCAGAGCAGGAAAAGCCTCACTCGAGCACTGGTTTCAGGTGGGTGAGGACTGGAAAACCTGGTTGCTCCATCTTGGATGTTCTCTGGGTGCATGGAAAGTTTCAGATGGTGGTGGAGTAGCTCTCCTGGGAGCTGTACTGACCTGTCCCCCTTCCCAAACTGAAACAGAAGGAAATAACTCCAAAACCTGGTTGCTCCATCTCGGATGTTCTGTGGGTGCATGGAAAGTTTCAGATGGTGGTGGAGTAGCGCTCCTGGGAGCCGTACTGACCTGTGCCCCTTCTGAGACTGAGACAGAAGGAAATAACTCTGCTCAGTAAGAAGAATATTTGCAGATGAACTTGTTTGTGCGATTTTTATAACCCCGCTTCATCTTTTAACAAGTGTTTTGAGTCTTGAGTGTTCAGGTTTGCCTCTGTGGAAGACAGCAGGATGCTTGGAGAAGCACGGTGGCCTCTTTAAGAGGCTCTTTGTCAATACTAGAGAGAAAAGCGTTTGAACCAGCATTAAAATCCAGTGTGCAGGTACTTAAGGCTTAAATAACTCGCGGACAAATCTCTTTGATCTAGTTGAGCTGTAGATGCACTTTTTTTTTCTTCTCCCCCCCCCTTACCCCCCAGAAAAACACAAATCTTAATCCTGCACAATGCGCAGCTGCAAGTGGAACACACAGTGGATTTT